CGCTTTTTATCATTACTATTATTATCTCGATTGCTGCCTTGTGCACGCTAGATGTACAAAATACACGAATGATTAATACATGGAATGATTATGATTATCGAAATGCAATTTCGCGATATTACTATGACGGACCGAATTAAATTGTTACGATCTAATTAAAGATTTATTATGATGTGGACGCAATGTTCGTTTGAACGATTACTGCTCTCGTATATCACAAATTCCGGTGCATTAGCGACGACGAATCAAATGGAATTCGCAATAGTGGCGTAACATCAATCTTTAATTCGCGGATCTTTCGATGAATTGAGCGCAACTATCGTTCGATCATTATTACATGAAGAATCAGTCCGCCATTTTGGAGAGAAACGGCCAGTGACGGTCACTGTTCGAAGTCAAACGCGGTGTATTTTATTCTTCGAACGCTATTTTGATACAATAATCACCATGAATGTTTATTTATTTATTTATACACTAAACTATTAAGTAATTAATGAAGTATCAAAAACTATGAAGTGCTACTTCATCCTCGTTCAAAATTTGACACAGTCAAAAATGACAGCACTCTTAAAAATCTTAATGAAGGTCACAATATACAACCGCAAAATTAATGAACAGCGTAAAAGTAAAAGAATTGCACCAGATGCTCGCATACGTATGAAACTTCAGATACGTAATCTAATTTATCGACTTTCGCGTTGCAAATTGTTTCCAAGAGGCAGGAGTAAGTAGCAGGCAGGAATTTAATCCTCGGCTACTAAGGACTAAGGGTTCAAGAGCGAATGAACTTTCATTAAAAAATCTAATTTTCCACAGGGACTACGTTTAACCTAGGGGATAGAATTAAATTTTATGTGCTTCCTTTTCCGCTCGTGGAAGCATGAAACTTGGTTCGCTTAAGAGATGCCTGAAGCAGACGACAAGTGGCATTTTGTCCGGGAATATGCGAATATTCGTGGATCAAACGCTAAACAACGAATCGAGACTTATTACATTCGTCTTATATTGCATAGTCAATACTTCGATACCATTGTTTTCATTGAACTTTTGCATTCTCATATATTGACTGACGGTTACTTTTATGAAGGCGGATTTTCTTGGTGACGTCTAATAAAAATATCAGTTGTGGATAATAACAGTGCTTTAAAATTTGAAAGTGCACTAAATATTTTATAGTACTTCGTTATCAAATTTGACCTGAATCAAGTATTTCCAGGACTATAATTCAGATAATAATACACTGATAAAAGTATACTGGAACAAGTATAAAATATAATGCAATATCTTATTACGGAAAGTTTAATTGTTTAATAGTTTCACCACTGAGGTTTTCATAACAAATTTTCCATCGTTTTTGTTATATTTGGCTGACTATATTATACCGTTAATTAACGCGTTGACCGCCACGGTGGTCATATGTGACCGGCGGTACAAATTCAGTTAAATTAATTAATGTCGGGGCACAAATTAATTAATGTTTTTAAGAGACAATAATATACACTAACAAATTAAAAACTAAAATACCTTTATTCATAATAAACTGTAGTCTGATATGAAACATCGGTTTTCGTTCCAGCGGTGAATGCATTAGGGGATGATTTTCCTAATAGTCTTCTTAGTAAAGACAGTAATTACGATGAAACCAACGTATAAAATATTTTTGATCCACCGTGCATTCTTATGGGACAGATTAGTCTCCAAGTAAATGGATCTACATATTCAGCCGGTTAATTGCCTAGTTCGTGTGATACGGGTATCATGGTGAAGATTAGCGAAACCTCACGAAGCATGAGAACTAAACCAACCCGATGCTAGCGTCGAGTTAATGTGCTTGCCGCGTGCTACATTCGAAATGAGAAGATCACCAAAATAGCTGAGACGTCTAGCTAAATTCAAACTAGTTTTTGATGCGAATCTAATATACGGCACCAGACAAAAGAACTAGTTACGCTTGCGGTAATGACGTACAAACGTGAACGGGACACGCATTAAAGGGGTAATTACGTTTTGCCGAGGATAAAAGCTCATTTGCGCTGCAAAAATAACAATCCGTAGCTGGATAGCTCCCTGGAACGCAATTACGTTTCTACGGCGGTATATTAAAAGAGTACAGTTCAGAGAAGTGTAATGTCGTTTGTTTATCAGCGGTGTAACTAGGACTTTTTTTCTTACAAATCTGTGTTTAAAGGTTTAAATGACAGAGCTCGTTGACTTGCGGGAGATGTATGTTACCGAAGTGTTATTACTAAAGTAATCTAATAGCAACTGACGAATTTTTAAATTTATAAACTTTGAATTACTATGTGTGAACCTGTTCTATACTACCAACTGCAATAACTCTATCTATGTAATATATTGAAAGTCAATAACATTCAACGATACATTGTCTTTGACGTAACATAGCATTCATATTGTGTGCTTCAATTTTACATACATTTACACCTGTTACTCTTGAATATATATTTTTTATAATAAATTGTATTGTAGTGCAGTATCAAGTCATTCGTTGCACACAATTTTGTGGCTTAAAACTAATAATCATACGTGTATGAATTTTTCTAGTAAAGTATTTAAAATGTAATCTAAATAACGCTTGTACAGCATAAAAAAGCTTAATGTTTCCGAATGAAAACGTTATTGAAATTCACGATTGGCCAAATAGAAAAAGAAATCAATTAAGGGCTGTTATTCTGTTTTTTATGTAATTGAAATTTTGCAATTTAATTGAGTCGTATATTTGCGCGCCGGCATGTTTTTACCTTTGATCGTGCGGTGATTGACGAAACGCGAACTCGCACGTTTTATATTTGCATCGACGAAACTTAAGTACGCTTAAACGATTCACGGGTGCATGTTATAAAAATCGTGATGCATGTTTCTAGTAAAAAACCGAGCAAACATTTTGTTTCTCAACGTTGGACTTTAATTAGCGCCTGTATAAGAGAGCACGAGCGCCCGAATACGACGCATTAAACAAACTTTGTACCAACGTCGATTTCGGTATCGCGAGACGGCGCCGACTGAAACGCCATTTTGATAAAAATTAATTGCTTTCGCAACGGATTCTCGCCGGGAAAACGAGTGGAAGATAATTTTTTCCCGTCTCGAGCAAAAAAAAGGCCGGCAATTCGTGGAGTTTTAGATTTTTCGGGGATGACCGATGTACATTATCGACCGGATGTGAAATAAAATGATTTTTGAAGGATTATGTGTTTGTATTCAAAAATAATTTGTCAAGGAGATCTTTAAAGCTTAGACTCCGATTTACTATCTGGTTTTATAATTTTGAAATTGTGGGATTATGGGACTAAGATTTTCTAATATAATGTTATTCCTGATTTTCTGCCGAGTATCATTCAAGGATTGTCCATAAAAACTAAAACAATTATTTTTTAAATATAAATAATTAACTTCAAATATTAAAAAAATCTATGAAGCAGAACAAGCATCTACAATTTGCATTTTAAAGTGTTCAAATATCTTCAATAGCTTCGAAGAAAAAAAGTGATGTTACAGGTTACCCTCAAACTTCCCTTATTAATGATGGATGGATGAAAACATAATTTGACCCATTTTCAGCACTCAATGAACACTTTATAATCGCTAGATCAACTACAAATTCGTTAAAAAGATTAATTGTGTCATGAAAGGGTTAAAAGGGCCATTGATCGCTTCCAAACACGAAGGGTCAAAACACTTTGGTTCACTTGGCAGCCAGAAATCTATCCTTCCAGCGGTATGATAGAAAAATCTCCCCACCCATCGCTTTCATTTCTCTCTCGCCACCTCCCATCCCACCCTTATTCCTTCTATATCCGCCATTCTTCCTCTGATCCTAGAAGAATGGAAGGACTCGAAGTGGCGAGCATGTGTCACGGGATTGGCCCAGGTTCTCGTGCTGCTCGTTCGAAAAGCGGTTTCTAACCGGGGTCGAGTCGATTCGGGGTGCAAGGGTGTACACTCATGTGCAATGTGCGATTAGTTTACATAAGGTTACATGCTTGATCATTTATTTTCCCTCGTATATTCAACTTCTTTAATTTTGTACTTTACAAATTGCTAAAGCTGCAAATTCTCGAGTTCTCTAGTTTTAACATTCTCAAATTACCAAATTTACATTTTTAAATTTGTCATATTTCGAAATTTTCAATCTTCCAATATTCCAGGTCGTCAAGTTCCCAATTTTCTAAATTTCCAAATTTTTAAGTGTCTAAATCATTGTCATGTACTGATATCTCCAAATTCCCAGGATCTCAAATAGCCATACTCCAAATTTCGAGATCTTCAAATTCCTGGATCCTCCAATCCCATAACCTCGAACGCTTAGACCTTGAAATAACAAAGTCCTCAAATACATCCCAAAATTTCTAGTTCCCTAAGTCCCTAAATCCTAAGAACCTTTATGTACCCAAATTCCGGCAGTCATATTTGCAAGTACTAAAGATTCCAAAATATCGAGTGAGATTCTCGGCATAGCATATTTTGCGTATGAAAGCCAGATTTGCTGTCGACTGTACATGCACGGTGTACCAGCGCCGAAAATATTTCTGAAGGAACGGTTGTCCTGACGGGAACGAGACGATCCGGAAGGTCCTTGGGAAGCAGTACAGCTAGACGGTGCCACCAGGAAAAAGTGAGAACGGGAGCCGGAGGAAAGGAGGAGGTAAGGAGGACTGTAAAAGAAAACGAGGAAAGGAGAGAGCAGTATTCGGGAAAGGGTGAGGTATATACCGAAGAAACGGGTGGTCGTTCGGTCGTACGTGAAGGGTCGGCGTTAGGCAGTTGGAACGTGGAAAAGGATAGATGGAGAGAGAAAAAGAAATGAACCGTGGCAGGGTGAGAGTAAGAGGGAAAAGGAGAACGGGGGTGCGAAGAGAGAAAGAGATAGAACGAGGGCGAGAGAGAGAGATGGTTGAGGGGTTGGAGTGCCTAGGGTCGCGCGAGAAGAGAAACGGAGAGAGTGGGGAGATTCCCTAGCAGAAACCAGTCGAGTCCCGGCCTCAGGTCGCGACGGGTGTTCAGTTTACAGGCAACGGCCGTACCGTGCGGTTGTCTCGCGTGTCGTCTCGCGTTTCTACCTTCATCACGATCGTTCTCATAATCGGTCCGAGTTTTTCGATCGATCTGACAGTGACATCATCCTCCGGCAACGTCGCCACGATTTTCGATAAAAGTCGAACAAATTCCCGACTTATGCTCGAATTACAATGGTCGCGTGTGACTCACGAGCTGTAACTGTGTCCGACCAGCACGATAAACAAATATAACCCCGACAACTTAAGTATACAAAGTTGTCGTGTTTGAACTCGTTTAGCAACGGACATTGCTCCAGCAGCGTTTATGCGACATAAACAAACGAAGACTTCGGAGCTGCGTTAGGAACACGGGGGTGAACTCGACCACCGACTTCGCGGCGTTAACCGTTGGTTAAACGTTCGCGATTTCGCCCCTGATTCGTTCGATGACTAAAACCGGCACCGGCAAGGATTTCAGACCGTGATTCGAGTGAGTGAGAGTGACGAAAGTGTGTAAACGAGGAAAGTGATAAGAGAGGAGCCTTCCCAACCGACTCCTTCTTTTTTCCGTTTTTTAACGACCACGATATCTCGTTAAGATTTTTCTGCCACTTGTACACCGCCGCTCGAGGAGCTCGCCGACTATTAAAACTGGCAGCAACTTCAAGACACTTCGTACACCGAGTGGTAAGTTTTATCTCCTTCTTTTTCTTCGTGCCGCTTCTCTTCCGGTCTTTACTCCGGTTTTTATTTCTAACCGTAAACCGGCCCGCGCTTGCTCCGAAGTTTAGACGTAGCGACTTCGCGACAGATAACATCTACGTTCTGGAAGCTGAAGAGATCCTACAGAGGGAAGCTCTTTCACGACATCGATGTCAATCGCTCGTTCACTTACGACTCCGATACAATGTCTTCCTGTCTAATCGGAGCAGAGACTCGCGACTCTTTTCCAGAGATGAGTTTTCCCACATCTTTCCTTCCATTTTACTGACAGTTCTTTTACGTCGACGTTCGAGTTCTCGACATCCCTGAAATCTCATGAGACGATACCAAGTTCTCGAAATGGTCATTTTTCGAGACATGCTTCGAATGAATTGTCGCTTCAACGTTTCAGTGTTCCGCGATTAAGAGATCTTAAGATCTGAAAGTTTCGATGTCTTAAAACTTTAAACCGAACGTTTTAAAGCTTCGGAAAAAGCTCTGAAGTTTTGAAGTACCGAAATCCCAAACTTTCGAAATTCTGAAGTCCCAAAACTCTAAAGCCCTGAAGTCTTTATCGAACTCTGAAGTATCGAAGCTTCCAAATCCCAAGCTCTCCGAAATTTCGAATGTCTCGAAGATCGAAATCCCAAAATTCCAAATACCAAAATCCCGAAATTCTAAAGCTCTAAAATTGCAATGACTCAAAATGAAAAAACTCGAGAACTGAAAATTAGCTAATTTTATACATTTCTATCGTGGACATCATATGAAGTGACACTTCCGCGCCAAAATTTCAACAGCAACATGGCGGACGTGAACTTCGTATTATCCTAACAATATCACCATTTAATTCGTGAAATAATCAAATAACGAAATTGGAGCGTTTGCTCGTTCAAATGTGCATAGTGTCAGAAAAATGAAGCGAATACGAATTGATTCGTAGGTTCATACGAAGTTTCAACCGAATGAAAGGTAATCGATCTCTCGCCTGTATTCGTCAAGTTGACGAGTAACATCCGCCAACACGTTCAATATTTGCTTTTGTCAATATCCTTCAACCGTGTACGTAGTTTCTGTATGCGATATTTTTGCCTCGTGAGATTAACGCTTCATAAGTAGGGTAGTATGACGCTTAATTAGTGACAAAAATTACATGGCTTTCTTATTCGAATGAGACGGTAAGAAATATCTTGGTATAATCCGTCTTTTATCGGAATTCTATAAATGTCATATGTCATGGAAAATGTGTATCGTACAGAGTATTCTTTAGTGAAAGATCGTATATTTCAGAACTGATTCTTTTTATTTAAAAAAGCAAAACGATGAACTGATTTTTATTGAAGTTAAAACAATCTTGATAATGCAACTAAAAAAATATTACATGATCTTGATGTTGCCATTCAATTTTGCTGTGAACTTCTTAGAACTCAATATAATAGTAATTTTCTATAATTACATGTTACAATTCAATTTTCCGATCTGATTTCAGACACCTGTCAGTTTCACGTGGCACATATTGCCATTTCATTCATGTATTTAACTGAAATATATGTTCTTTCTTACCATTCATATATTTGTAAAAACCAATTACAACAAAAAATGGCAACCACTTCTTTCATAAAATTGACTGAACCTTCAAATAGTTTGCTAAAGCCATTATTTTAAGTACCGCTGAATTGGTATCTACAAATAAATTTGCTTTGTGACGTTCAAAAACTCGATAAGGTAATAGAGAATTAAGTAAAATTTATGTAGAGGAAAATTAAAAGCGCGGTTCGAGATTTATGAGGTTATTACTGTCTTTATGATACTAAAGAGTCAGAGGTTAACGAGAGTTCTTCCGTTTTTATGTAACGAATATTTCCATTGAAAAATTGACAATCGTTTGGATGTCGAGTTTTTCTTGGTTCCGATCGATCAGTAGTTCGCGAAATTCACTATTCACATGCTGAATACTTAATCTGCGTATACCACTTCCGACTGCGAACGCAATATATTGTTAGATTTCAACTCGATAGCCGGACGCTGCGGCAATATTGTCCGGCCTTTTGCAATTCGAATTTTTACAATCAAGCTGCTTCCGTGGCAAACTAGGACTCGCGAATGTTTATCTTGATACGATGGAAAATGCTTGATCGTTCCACTCGACTGCGAAACAATGCGGTGACGATGGAACGAAATTTCCAAGCTATCCGGGGGGTTAGGAAACTTTTAAAAACACGCGATTGTTCCGGTTTTCCCGGGAATTTCCGAAAGCGCACTTCGAGTTCCAGATAAATTCTCGATCTCGTTTTTTGAACGACGATGAATTGAAAACAGATCCCATGTATATGTCTGTAACAATATCCGTACGTGATGTTGCTTATTGACTCTTTCATGCTTTATTCGTCAAAAATACCATGAAAATGTTTTTCCAAATTTATAGTTACCTATTTGCAAAATAAACATTAAGGCTTAGAAATTTAGTTCATTTGTGCTAAATATTGATAACGTTATTTTTATCAGTGTCTTTAGTTTTTATAAATATTGCATGTCTTTTAGTATTTTAGGGGAAAAATCTTTGAACCGCTATTTTATAGTCAAGGTAAAAATAAGTTTAACTGCGAATGGTACACTGAAATTGATAAAATATTAATACAATTTGCAAGGCACATTCATTTCGCTAAATCTTTGATACAACATTAACCTTGATAAAAAATAAATTACTTCATAGCTGTTTATATTTGAAGAGTTAAAATATTCTACAAAGTTAGGGCTACTGTCAATCATTGCAAGCTGATTATAAAGAAAATATTTAATACTTCTATACATAAGATTATACATAATGTACATAAACAGTGGTCTTCACGGTAAATAATTATGTGTGTGCCATAAGCCACCGTTCGTCCCTGTGTTCAACATGTTAACATAAATGACCTAATATCGAGGTGACCGATCAAACAGGTCTCTCAGAAAGTGTCCGAAGTATAATGGCGGTGTCCATCGTGCGCGGCCGAGAATTTAAGAGCATTGTCGTGTACCGTGGCCGAGTTGGAAATAAGAAAAGTTTGAATGAAACTCTTTTGCGCGACGCCTCTCCGTTGGAAAAGTCCCTGGTCCCTTTTCCTTCGGTCGTCGCGACGTCAAAGATGTTCGTAAATCTCGAGGAAAGCATCTCGCGGCCGTATCTGTGCCGATGCACATAGAACGATCCGTGGCGATGGCACGATAAAAAATACGACGCGGAAATGATGAGAAATAAAAGCTCGGCAGAGGTTCGTTTTTATACTGTAATCTTGATGTTACGTGATACACGCGGCGGCCCGTATAAAAGCAAGATATATCGCTTTATGAGGGAAATGAGATTTTTATTCGGGAGCACCGCAAAAAGAGAAATCGGACGAATTCTAATGCGTCTGAAAACATTAATTTCAACTTTGAGAAATTACGCTTATCGTAACAGTCCTCTGGACCAGAGAATGCTACCGTCCTATGTATTCACCGTGTCCTCCTTTTGCCAGCAACATTTAATTAATTCTGAACCAATTCAAGCCAACAGCATTTTTACTAACGTCCGTCGTGGTTCGTTGTAATGCCGGGATTACATCGACGTTGTCCGTCTACTCGCGTAATCTTCTATTCAGCTTCGCCTCATTTTTCCCGACACGATGCTACGAAAATGGTTGAAAACATTAAAAAGAACCGACGCTGGCGGAAATTCACGGATACTGTAGATGGACACTGTAACTCGAGAAAACGGAAAATAATATTACGTTCGCTCCAGAGATCCCACGATCGTTACACTTTTAATCCTGAATATTCGATGAACACTGCATTAATAGAAATTACTGCATACAATCTCAGCTACGATATTGCACTATGACTCTTCGATTGCAATTAGAACAATTATGATATTTTGACGAGTATCGGAAATTTGGGGGATGTAAGGATTTGGTGAAGTATCTGAAGATATAGGGACTTGAAGATGCAGAAGTCTTGGAATATCAAAATCTTGATTTATAGGGATTTGGGGATATAAGAAAATATAGGATCTTGAAGGCATAAAGGTTATAAAATATTGAAGTTCCAGGATAAAGGATCTGGAGCTGTAGGTATACTGAGAACTAATATAGAAATCTAAGGATTTGGGAATCTAGGAATCTCCTACATTTCAGAGTCCCCAAATTGTCAAACTCACAGGTCCTCAATCTCCCAAATCTCTAAATTCCCAAATTTTCAATTCTCCAAATTCTCAATCTTCCAACCCCTGAATTCCCCAAGTATCAACATTCCCGAGTTCCAGAATTCCTTTTCCATATTCCGCAATATTGAAATTTGAAATCTCCGTGAATCTGTACCATTTCATCAACAGCTTCTATACACACCGGTGGCCATTAGCGTTTCAACGGGCACCTGGCCATCGTTACTAGAAATAAGTTTCAATTCAATTTTATAAATTAAAATGTACATGTAATACAAAAGAGTATGAACACAATACCGATTCAAATTAGTTAATTAATGAAAGATTGCTCGCGAGATTCTATTATTCGCGCAGGGCTACAGCCCTCAATTTACTCTGGTGAACGTTTGTTCCACTTTCATTCATACTGCTCGTCAATTTTCCCTGGCCCTTTGTGCACCGAAATTATGGTAAACATTGAATCTATTTGGTCGACAAAGACCTACCACGGTTCATTGAGATTCCACATGCTATCGCGGGTATTTTAATTCGTCGGATGCACGTACTACGCTTTCACCGATATCGATAATTAATTCGGCATTCTAAGGACGGTCATTAACGCGTCGGCGATTAGAACCGAATAATTAACTAACAACTACGGTATACCGTCTCTCTCCACTGATTAATTAGACGATCGGCTGGCGCGTTATATTCACATGCACGACTTAATTTTACGTGTTTCGAACGGGGTTACAAATGGTTCAACAGTTTTGCGCGAATCCTGCCACGGTCATAAATCAACTACCATGAATCGTCTTGAGAAACG